TTCTGTTAAGATTCTATCCAATTATTTTTGGTTATATTTTTCTGTTAAGATTCTATGCAATATAGCAGGTTGATTAGACAAGATGAAAGGGTCTGCTTAGGGGGGGGTGGACTAGATGACCTACAAGGTCCTTTCCAACTATTAATCTGTAATAAAGACAATGTAAACTGTTTCTATACTGAAATATAACCAAAAATAATTGGATAGAAAACAATTCAAGAATGTTATGACTTTTTTTTTAAAAAAAAAAATCATATTGGACTCCACAGAAAATTTTTAGGAGGGAAGCATTTAAATTCTAGTATGGTCTAGCAAAAAATAAAAATGAGGGGGAAATAATTTATTTTGAATTGCCATGGAAAAGCCATTTGGATCCCGAAAATTAGGCAATGCTAAACCTTTTGGTTTTCTTCTCTCATTGGTTTGGCTTCTTCAGAGCTTGTGGATAAACATTTTGTCCCATCCACGATCAGACAACTAGAACAAGTCTGTCCAAAAATGTAGTCTTGTAATAATGAACCAGCAGCCAACATAATATGCACACCAAAGTACCAATATAATCAATAGCCTTTCAAACAAGCTTCATTGAAAATACTTTCAACATTTAGTGAAGGAATGCATGTGAAAACATCCAATCATTTCTCACCATGGATACAGGGAGTCCTCAACTTACAACTACCATTTATGTTGCTAAGTGAAACATGCCGTTGAGTTTTGCCCCAATTTATGACTTTCCTTGCCACTGCCATTAAGGTTGCAAAAGTTGATCACGGGACCCTGCAACACTGCGACTGTCATAAATATGAACCAGTTGCCAAGCACCTGAATTGCGATCACATGATCATGGGGAGGCTGTAATGGTCATTAAGTGTGAAAAATGGTCATGTGTCACTTTTTTCACTGCCGTACCTTTGAATGGTCATTAAATAAACTCTTATAAGTTGAGGATTATATCTGTATTTTGATTCCCTGCTTTGGTTATCGTTTCTAATCCTGTTGCTCCAGTTTGTTTTGTGCTTCTTTTGCCAGTACAGCTGAGCTCAGGGACTCGATGGACTTCACTTTTCATCCGCTTCAGCTAATACGACCAATATTCAGGGAACATGAACCTTGGAGCCTTGCAATTGAAGGGATGATGGTTTCTTATCTTTACAAGAGGGAATTTTATTAAAAAAAATAAAAAATTCTAAAGTTGAACAGTTAGCCATTCACTCATTGCCACAAGCGGCCGAAGTTCAAGGCTCAGAACATGGGATGCTTATAAGTAATGCTTAAAAAGCCAAGGGTGAATATTTTTATTTCTGCTTGAAAATTACTCCTCTTGGAATTAAATATATAATTAAATATATATTTCTTGATTTGTCTTCATTTTATAACATTACCCTACCGCCGCATTCCAAATTGTCACGCTATCTTTTCTTGGGGGTGCTTAAATAAAACGAGCCAGTTTGGTGTAGTGGTTTATGGCAATGGTTTCCAACCTTGGCAACTTTAAGACCTGTGGACTTCAACTCCCAGAGTTCCTCAGCCAGCAAAGCGGAACTCTGGGAGTTGAAGTTCACAGGTCTAAAAGTTGCCAAGGTTGGAGACCACTGTTCTTAATCATCTTCTCTCTGACTCCATTGGTTTTGCAGGATTTTTATCTTCTTAATCAGTGGTCTCCAACCTTGGCAACTTTAAGACCTGTGGACTTCAACTCCCAGAGTTCCTCAGCCAGCAAAGCTTTGCTGGCTGAGGAACTCTGGGAGTTGAAGTCCACAAGTCTTAAAGTTGCCAAGGTTGGAGACCACTGGTTTAAGGCACCAGGCTAGAAACCTGGAGAGTGGGAGTTCTAATCTTCGGCATTAAGTCATCTTGGTGGCCTTGGGCCAGTCACTCTATCTTCACCCTGGGAAGGAATCAATGGCAAACGATTGCTGAAAAACTTTGCCAAGAAACCTGCAGACGCTAATCCAGAACTCAACATTGACTTGAGGGCATGTATAAAAGTGTACAGACACACACATACACCTCTACATGAAGCTTGGAAGAACATCCAGTAAGAGTAGCAAAAGTTTTCTGTTTCACTATTTAGATTGAATATATAATATCAAAATCTTTCTGTAGGCTTGTGTGAAGAGTCCATTGCCAAGTGCATTTTTTTTCCTATCCAGGCCTAAAAGAGAACTATACAAAATCATTTGTGAATCTTAAAAGTTGATTCAAAATTGCTCTCGCTTTTGCAACCAGATCGCCGTATTTAATATTAGGTGGGGAAACAGATAAAATTGCAGTGTTCCCATTGTATCTGGACATAGATCAAATCACTGACAATAACTTAATATATTACATATTTTTAATGTATGCTTATATTTTTCTTTACATCGCTATGCGGCTCAATTAGAGAATAACTGAATTACAGTTAATTTTCTAACAATAACATTACAATTTAAATAAAAGACATAACCTACTCTTCCATCCTAGAATTCCGTGTCTCGGGGAGCTAAATTAACAGGTTAACGGTTCTCTTTTTGGACTAAGAAGATGAGACAATAACACATTTTTAACAACTTTTTAATGAAGAAGGAAAGGAATGATAAATATCTTGGAATCACACCTGCTGTTCTTACCCTGGCAAACTAACTAAGAGGTTCTAAAACACGCCGAATAGAAAACCACTCATTTAATATAACCGTTTGTATATTTTTTGTAATAAGTTGAGCAAAATTATCTTCTTTTCAGTGCAAACAAGTACTTTCCGACCCATGTTCTATTTCAGACTCAAAACGTACACCCATCTTCCCATCTCAGTTGAAGACATTTTAATCCAAACTAGGTTAACAGTAAAAGAAAGATCAAAAAGTTATGACTCTGCTCCATCATTTGTCTATATACCCTCACATAAAGTCACTGATCCAACATGACTCTTCCTTGGACCCAACTCTTCAAATCAAATACAAAACTCTATAAAAGAAATAATTCCAAATGAACTGACTTGTAGGGAATAGTAAAATAGTTAAAGTAAAAATCTCTGCGTTGGACCATATTCACTCTCATCCTGCTCAGATGTGGCCCTGGATGATTTAGATGGGGATCATCTAACAGTTTTTATGCTCATTTGGCTTGAGCTGCCTAAAAATTTAATGTGAAGACACCCGGGATTTATCTGCCCGTGAAAGATGGGAAGAAGGAGCCAAAAGGATCTGCATCCTGGTTGGGTGGGATTGGGCGAAAAGATCTGCATCCTGGTTGAGTTGGGTTGCCTTGCTTGGTGCTCAAGAGTGGGTCGGGGGCCATCCAAAGTGGGCTCCTGGAATGAATTCTGACAACCACCCAACTTTGGGTGGTCAACACAATAGAGTCCATCTCGGTTTGCTGCTTTACCCGTCTCATATAATTCATACAATTTATGTATTCATGGATGGAAAATAACTCGACTATTCCATATTGCAGTGATCCCCAAGCCCCGGGGATTGGGGCAGTGTCACAGACAGGTATCGTGCTGCAGCCCAATGGGAATAGGGCTGTGCACACACAGCTCCCTTTGCGCATGCGCAGGATGCAAAACTATTCCTCCCCACCACCATCTCGCCAACACTGATGCCGCCAGCCAAACACCAAGACTGCCAGTCCGCGAAGCCAGAAAGGTTGGGGGCCATATTGTATAGACTTTTTAGTATACTTAAAGTATTAACACAAATGCAATTAGTGCATACTAGTAATAAGCCTGGCTGCTTGTTTTCTTTGTCCCCTTCTATTAAAATTCTTTTTTTTGGGGGGAAAAAAAGATTTAAATGCGTTTGCATTTGAGCTGCATGTTTGCTAACTCCAAACAGCAGCGTTTGTTGGCAGCAGGAGGAACTATGTCATAGCTATGCATTCCATTCTGATCCTCTTCATATTTCTCCATCATCTGTGAGTCTCTTGGGTCACATTAGCAGCGTTAAGTGCAAGCTGAAAACAGTAGATTGGTTGCTATGAAAGAGAAGAATTAGCTGCACCTTATATGTATGCATTTACTTTTCAAGGGTACAGTCCCCAAACAGAGAAGACGCTGTGGATAGGAGGCGAGAAGAGTGCATTCTGGCTCTTGGTGTGTCATCCTGCGTGGAAATGGTGGACCTTCTCAGCAATTCCTTAATTCCAAGCCCTTGGATCTTTCTGCAAAGCTTCTCAGAATGCCTTCAAAGTTTCCAAGCCCACCAATTCAAGCTGCTTGCAGGAAAACAAGCCTACAGCTCTCTCTCTCTCTAGCTTAGGCTACACCACCTGGGTAACTCTTGTTTTGGGCAACAGTCTTGTCCATAGTAAGACAGCTAATTCTACAGCCGGCGTTGGGTGTTGTCCAGCATTAAGATTTGGTCCTGATTCTCTTCGTATTTCTCCATCATTTCCTGCAGGTCGTCGTCAGCCTGCAGCACCTTAAAAAGACTCAAATGATCAAATGCACATCTCTGGGGGGAAAAAATCTACAGATGAGATAGTATCCAAGTCTGGAATTGGGATTGTATGTTAAGGAAGCCAACATTCATGAGCTTGAGCTCATTTGGGATTGGTTCTTGGCTTACAAACCCTGGCTTGTTTGGCATAAGAACAGTTTTTTTTCCATCATTGCTAAACAAATAATTCCCTCAACACTGTCAAACTATTTAGTAAGTCTGCATTACTATTTATCTTCTCATCGTTCCTATCACTCATCTCGTCTCACTTATGACTGTGACTTTGTTGCTTGTATCCTTATGATTTATATTGTTTCCTAGTATGATTTGATTGCTAATTTGTACCCTATGACTATCATTAAATATTGTACCTTATGATTCATGACGAATGTATCTTGTCTTTTTATGTACATTGAGAGCATATGCACCAAAGATAAATTCCTGTGTGTCCAATCACACTTGGCCAATAAAGAATTCTATTCTATTCTATTCTATTCTATTCTATATGTATTCTTGGCATTCTTTGTTTCAATGGCATGCAATTGTATTCCTTTCCTTCAGGCACCTAAAAGACAACCCATTCACACTGTAGTTTATTCAACCAGGACTGTTGGCTTAAAAACGTTGCTTGGTTTTAGCGCAACATGCAAATGCAAGCAATTTTAGTTCATATAATAAGTTGTGCTAAACACATTAATTTATAAAGCCCAGCCAACATATGCGATCTCCTCAATTAATTGTATTTTTGTAGTGTTTTTATACAGGCATAAATATTGAAACGCATATTGTCTGCACATGTCGATCTGTTGAATTCCAGACTACCATATTTTATATCAGTATCTGGTGTGGCAACCATCAAGAATAGATCTTCAAGCTTTATAAAGGTCCTGGAAACGATGTAAGTGCATTTGTTTTAAATCTGAGGCGATCAGGCCCCAAAGAAGTTCAAAGAGGGAGATAACTAAACAGAGGAGGAGCTCCCTAGAAAAGGGTTCAAATCTGAGGTGAGTGCTTGCACAAATAAATCTGGCACAAACAAACACGAATTGCAATCAAATAAGTCATATAATGGGATGTTTCTCCATGAACAGCCTGCAGGTTTAGCACCAGCAGTTTGAACTGTGAACACTCCTGAAGACCAGTCAGCAGAGGGAAGAATACAGGGTAAACTGGGAAAGGTCTAGGAGCGCAAAGACCAGTGATAGGATTAAAAAAAAATTACTACCAGTTCTATGGGTGTGGTTTGGTGGGTGTGGTGTGGCTTGGTGGGCATGGCAAGAGAAGGATACTGCAAAATCCCCATTCCCTCCCCATCAGCTGGGACTCGGGAGGCAGAGAATAGATGGGGGCGGGGCCAGTCAGAGGTGATATTTACCGATTCTCTGAACTACTCAAAATTTCCGCTTCCGGTTCTCCAGAACTGGTCAGAACCTGCTGAATGCCACCTCTTGCACAGACTACCTTGGGACTCAACTAAAGGGCCGTCAGGTAGATCTCAAACCATTAATAATAAGCCAAAACAGGCACAATAAGCGAGGATCAATTGCTCGGTCCTCTTAAGAAGAATCGGTCAAATTCCCCAGCTTGTCGTATTTCCTAGAAAGAACCAAGTTGCCAAAATCCAAGCCGATTGCCTGTCACAATGCTATTAAAAGGTCTTCCCCTCTTGTGGAAAGTTTATAGTTAAGTCGAAGAAGCCTTTGAAGATAGTTAATAGTGAGACATGACAGGATGGAGAGCAAGACAGTTTTTTTTACAAACATAATAAAATTTATGCCCTAATTCAGGTACCTTTTTCCTGTTTTGGCCAAACTATCTTTCAAAACAATCATGAATGTATACTTACAAGCACCGGAGAAGGGACTTTGAACAATGATTGTTTAATGAGCCAGTCTTCATAAAGCTGATGAATAGCTTCTAAATATTCCTATCCAGAGGAGGAAAAAAGAAGGATGATCAGGTTGTTGTTTTTTTTAACAAGACACCAAAATACTTTGATTAATTTGACGGTTCAAATCCCTAGTGCCGCATAATGGAATGAGTTCTTGTTACTTGTCCCAGTCTGCCAACCTAGCAATTCAAAAGCACATAAAAATGCAAGTAGAAAAATAGGGACCACTTTGGTGGGAAGATAACAGCGTTCCGTGTGCTGTCAGTGTTAGTCATGCCGGCCACATGACCATGGAGATGTCTTCGGACACCACTGGCTCTTCAGCTTTGAAACGAAGATGAGCACCACCCCCTAGAGCAGTGGTAGTCAACCTGGTTCCTAACACCCACTAGTTCCAGCTTTCATGGTGGGCAGTAGGGATTTGCTGTAACTCTGCTTTATAAATTTTATAAAGTAAAGTTACTTCTGTACTTTATAAATCACCATTACTGTGGAACCGGTGGGTGGTTATAAAATTTTACTACTAACAGAGATACAAAAGTGGGCGGTAGGTATAAAAAGGTTGAATACCCCTGCCCTAAAGTATGTGCAAGAGGAACATTTACCTTTACCTAATCATGATTTGTGTTCTGTAGGAGCAAAAGGTAGAATAGTTGCAATTAAGAGCCAAATATCTGATTTAAGTTGCAACAGGACAACCAGATTTGGGAAGGGGGCTGGGTAGGAGACCTTTTTATACCTACCGCCCACTTTTGTATCTCTGTTAGTAGTAACATTTTTTAACCACCCACCGGTTCCATAGTAATGGTGATTTATAAAGTAGAGAAGTAACTTTACTTTATAAAATTTATAAAGCAGAGTTACAGCAAATCTCTACTGCCCATCATGAA